CCCATACATCGTAGTTGCCATGATCAAGCCTGGAACATTCAAGCTCAAAGACTCAGATGGAAAAATCCTGCCTCGGACTTGGAATTCCGAGAATCTTCGGAAATACTACCAGTAGCACTTCAGTCATATCATCTATGTCATATTTCATACAATGTCAATGTATTTCACTTATTTTTAGAAAGTGCAACGGCTCATTCACGAGTCACTTTATGCTCTTAGTTCAAGAAATACACAACTCTGGTTGTATCTTAGTCAGAGCACGATTGATCTCAGGGGGATTTGATCTGACCTCTTGGGTTACATCGTTGAATTTTTACTCTGATAAACAACCTTGAATAGGTTAACCGTCCTTGGTGGACTACACTTGATTCCTTCTGCATAGGTTCATAAGTGAGCAATGCTCCAACAAACAACCTTGGATGGGTTAATAAGTCCTCGGTGGACTTTCTTTGGCTCGTCCTATACATGTTAAACATCACTAAGTAATACTCTGTTGCATAACCTCAACCAAGTGAAAGGTTGTTGACAATTTATCCCCACGGTAATTTTCTTATATGACATTGGACATCCAACGCGTCACACCATTACGATGCTCCGTCCATCACGTCGCTGCAACACACCATCACAACACGACACATTGCCGCAACATGTCGCCGTGACACCGTCACAATGCATCGTCACGCCGCAATGCGCCGCCACGATGCACCGCCGTAACACATTGTCGCACTGTAACATGTCGCCGTAACGTACTGTCACAACGCGTTGCTCTGCCTCAACGCGTCGCTGAGACACACCACTCCAATGCGTCACGCCGCCACGATGCACCGCCGCTACGTGTCTCCGTGCCACTGCGTTGCGTCGTCGCGCCTTCAAGCCGCCGCAATGCGTCACCCCAATGCACCGTCGCACTTCTACGCTCTCCATCTGACCCCTATTTATAGGCTCCAAAAGTGATTTAACATAAATGTCATTATTATAAACTTTAAAAAGAAGTGAAAAATTAAATATTTGTTATTAAATAGACTTAAAAAAGAAGTGAAAAATAAAATATTTGTTATTAAGTAGGCTAAAAAAGAAGTGCAAACATTAAATGTCATAAAAAATAAAAATAAAAAATAAAAAAACTTTTCATCTTCCAAAAAACTTCTCAGGCTCCCCAACTCTGCATTTCGGGCCCATCTTTTCAACCTAGAGAGCAAAAGAACTTACCAACTGAGCTCTATTCAACTTCTTATATATAAGTAAATAAAAATTTTTATACTGATACTAATAAAATAATATATATTGATACATATGCAGAATATAAATGCTCCAGGTTTTGATATTTTCGGACTATAAAAATAGTCTCGCCAGAAAATAAGGGGGCAACTCATATGCCACCAACAAATTTTCATCATCCGACACGAATCTCGAAGCATGACACGAATCTCGAGATGATATTTTAATCAAGAAATATTTAAATCTTGATAAAAAGTCATCCAGAGCTCCGATTTCAGCATACTTATAATCAAATTGACTGGCTCGATGAGACGGACCTAAGAATATGAATACTAGTCCAATCCGAGTCAAATCAAGCTCAGCTCAAGTCATTAAACTACCATTAGAAGATTTTTGGACACATTTGGAAGGTCAAACATATGTCAACACTAGCAAACTTATACTCGAATCGAGCGTCTCGACAAGACAAATCCAACGAGGTTAAGATCCGAGCTCAAGATCACTCAATTTCGACATCGTTAAGACACTCAAATGTCCATTAAATGCCTTATGATTGTAAATACCTTATGATTGAAGGAAACTCTCTGGACCGTCCGATCAAAATGGTTGATATTCCTGCATTAATTGCACCCATAACACTATCAATAGACCCCCACCCCTCACATGGTTGATATTCTAGATAGAGAGCCTGAGGTCTTGAGGATAAGCTGCAGCTCAGCATCACCGTTGATCGTCGTCGACCACCGCCGACCACCGTCAACCACCGTCGACCGCCGAAGAGCACCGTCGACCACCGCCGATCGTCGTCGACCTCTGCCAACCGTCATTGACTACCACTAACCACCATTGATCACCACCAACCAGACACCGTCAATCGACGTTGTAATCTAAAAAAATTAGTTACCTTTTCTAAATATAGTTACCCTTTCCATATGTGGGACAAGAGATTTCTGTAATTATCAATCAATAGTGAATTTCCGCAACTCGGCTGTTTCTCTTTCATCCATGTGTGTGCTGAACTTTCGTACAACGCTAAGACGATAGTCCGTTACTCTACCGCCGCGAATTCTTTAGCACACGTCAACCTTATATTTTTTTTAAATTAATTTAAACAAATCAGCTTTAAATTTTATATGAGCTAAATATAAATAAAAACAATGAAGAAAAGCTCCGACAATAGTTGGATCTTCTCTCGAAATTACGCGATGTGGCACACCTCAGAGATGCTTCCTACCGGCAAAGAATTGCTCGCCACTTCAACCGAAGAGTAAAGCCTCGACCTATCTTCATTGGTGACCTGGTTTTGCATAGTATCGAAGCTGCCGGTCATAGTCTCCAACGCAAAAAATTATCCCTCTTTAGGAAGGCCCATACATCGTAGTTGCCATGATGAAGCCTGGAACCTTCAAGCTCAAAGACTCAGATGAAAAAATCCTGTCTCGTACTTGGAATGCCGAGAAACTTCGAAAATACTACCAGTAGCACTTAAGTTATATCATCTATGTCATATTGCATACAATGTCAATGTATTTCAAACTTATTTTTAGAAAATGTAACGACTCATTCACGAGTCACTTTATGCTCTCAGTCCGAGAAATACACAACTCTGGTTGTATTTTAGTCAGAGCACGATTGATCCCAGGGGGATTTGATCTGACCTCTTGGGTTAACTTTGTTGAATTCTCACTCCGATAAACAACCCTGAATAGGTTAACAATCCTTGGTGGACTACACTTGATTCCTTCCGCACAGGTTCATAAGTGAGCAATGCTCCAGCAAACAACATTGGATGGGTTAATAAGTCCTCGGTGGACTTTCTTTGGCTCTTCCCATACATGTTAAACATCACTAAGTAATACTATGATGCATAGTTGTTGACACTTTATCCCTACGGTAATCTTCTTATATGACATTGGACATCCCAGCATGTCGCTGCAACACACCATCACAATGCGACACATTGCCGCAACATGTCGTTGTGACACACCGTCACAATGCGTCTTCACGTCGCAATGCGTCCCCGCGACGCACCGTCGTAACACATTGTCGCACTGTAACACGTCGTTGTAACGCACTGTCACAACGCGTTGCTCAGCCTCAACACGTCGCTGAGACGCACCGCTGCAACTTGTCACCCCGCCGCGACGCACCGCCGCAACGCGTCGCCACAACGCACCGTCGCACATCTACCCTCTCCATCAGACCCCTATTTATAGGCTCCAAAAGTGATTTAACCATTAATGATCATTATTATAGACTTCTAAAATAAGTGGAAAATTAAATATTTGTTATTAAATAAACTTAAAAAAGAAGTGAATAAATAAATATTTGTTATTAAGTAGGCTAAAAAAGGAGTGCAAACATTAAATGCCATAAAAAATAAAAAAAAAACTTTTCATCTTCCTAAAAAAAAAAAATCTCAGGCTCCCCAACTCTGCATTTCGGACCCATCTTTTCAACTTCAGGCTCACAAGCGACCTGTCTAGGGACCAAAAGAACTTACCAACTGAGCTTTCTTCAACTTCTTAATATATAAGAAAATAAAAATTCTTATACCGAATAAAATAATATATATTGATACGTATGCAGAACATAAATGCTCCAGATCTTGATATTTTCGGACGATAAAAATTGTCTCGCCAGAAAATAAGGGGGCAACTGATACGCCACCAACAAATTTTCATCATCCGACACGAATCTCGAAGCATGACATAAATCTCGAGATGATGTTTTAATCAAAAAAATATTTAAATCTTGATAAAAAGTCATCCAGAGCTCCAATTTCAAGAAACTTATAATCAAATTGACCGGCTCGATGAAACGGACATAATAATATAAATACTAGTCCAATCCGAGTCAAATCAAGTCATTAAACCACCATTAGAAGATTTTTGGACACATTTGGAAGGTCAAACATATGTCAACACTAGCAAGTCTATACGAGCGTCTCGACAAGACAAATCCAACGAGCCTAATACCACTTAATTCCAACATCGTTAAGGCACTCAATGTCCATTAAACACCCTGTGATTGAATGAAACTCTTTGGACCGTTTGATCAAAATGCAAAAGGGTTGATATTTCTGCATAAATTGCACCCATAACACTATCAATAGACCCCCACCCTTCACATGAGGAAAAGCTTAAGTCTAGATAGAGAGCCTAAGGTCTTGAGGAGAAGCTGCAGCTCAGCATCACCGTTGATCGTCGTCGACCACCGCCGACCACCGTCAACCACCGTCGACCCACCGCCGATCGTCGTCGACCTCTGCCAACCGTCATCAACTACCACTAACCACCATTGATCACCACCAACCAAACACCGTCTGTCGACGTTGTAATCTAAAAAATATAGTTACCATTTCTCGGCTGTGGGACAAGGGATTTCTGTAATCATCAATCAATAGTGGATTTCCGCAACTCGGCCAGACCCCGTGGCTTTTCCCTTACGGGTTTTCCACGTAAAAACTTCTGGAGTCATCACCGTTTGTTTCTCTTTCATCTGTATGTGTTGAACTTTCGTACAACGCTAAGACGATAGTCATTACTCTACCGCGGTGAATCCTGTAGCACACGTCAACCTTATATTTTTTAAAAATTAATTTAAACAAATCAGCTTTAAATTATATATGAGCTAAATATAAATAAAAATATTTAAATAGAGCTGAACATACACACACTTTTCATCAACAATTGCTTTAAATTTTATATGAGCTAAATATAAATAAAAATATTTAAATTGTGCCGAACATAAACACATTTTTCATCAAAAATCTAGAAAATAAAAATTAATTTTGAACAAGTGGAACTCGGGCAAGTCTCAGCTCGCTCAAAGCCCTTGCCATTTTGCATTGCTTCCATAATTTTCTTAAACGGGTCCCCGGCCTTCTCGCAGTCTGTGACAAGTGCATCTGAGCAGTTTCCATCTATGGCGTAACTTCATGCCTGCTAGTGCAAGCAAAGCAATCTCCCCACGCTTTATTCCTCCAAGTTAAATCTGTTTTTTTTCTTCAAAAATCTTCCACTCTTCATTTCCCCTTCTTTACCACTTTATCTTGTGCCTTCATTACATCTCCAAGAATTCTTCCACCTAAACAGTTCAACACTGTGCAATCCGATGCCATCTTTTCATATAGAAGCTCTAGTTCTTCCTAATCCGCAACCATCTAGAAAAAGCTCATTGAAAATTTAAATCTTTCTGTATAATTTATTAGGCACGGTTCCTATTGTTGCGCTGACTTTATTGGTTGAAGAGTTCAGTCTTCTTGACTTGGAAAGGATATTGTTTAAAGTGCATCTAGTTTGAGATTCAGGTTCTTCGATAGGCTTCTCAAAGCAAAGAATCAAAAGCATAGAGGAAACCCCCTTGAAAAATTACTCTTTCCTTTTCCTCCCTTACATGCATCTTCTAGTATTATAAGGAGATAATGCGAAAATCAGAAAGCGAGTTGATAATTTCTTTCAATTTGTGTTGCAAGATTTCACTTTGATTTCTCTGCAACCATTCTACCACTTTTGATCTCAACAGGTCAGAAGAGCACATAGATAGAGAAGGAGAGAATGGATTTTTCCGGCCATGAAGGAGAGATCCCAATCCCAATAACCAGCACTTTTCTTCTTGGTGGTGGAGCTCATTGCCAGAGCCAGAGCAACGTCATTGGCCCACCTGCTCCTCCTGAAACTCTTACTCGCCACACTTTACCAACTCCAGACAACAGCAAGAAAGGAGTCTTAGTAAAGTACAGAGAATGCCTCAAAAACCATGCAGCCTCCATTGGTGGAAATGCTACGGATGGTTGTGGAGAGTTCATGCCCAGTGGAAAAGAAGGTACCTTGGAGGCTTTCAAGTGCTCAGCTTGCCATTGTCACAGGAACTTCCACAGGAAAGAGTCTGAAGGAATATCATCCTCCTCTTGTGACTGCTTCCAGAACAACGGAGGGAGGAAGATGATGGAAGGATACATTACAGGTACAAGGCCTTTTCCTCACCAAATGATAATGCCACTTGGTGCTATACAGACCTCAGAGTCTGATGAGATGGAAGGTTACATGACGAGGACACCGATAGTGAAGAAGAGGTTCAGGACCAAGTTCAGTGTCGAACAGAAGGAGAAGATGTTGGGATTTGCGGAGAAGGTGGGGTGGAGGTTGCAGAAGCAAGAGGAAAGTTTGGTACAACAGTTTTGCCAGGAGATTGGAGTTAAAAGGAGGGTTCTGAAGGTCTGGATGCATAACAACAAGCACAACTTGGCCAAGAAAAGCAGAAATCTTCAGCTGGATTGGAGTACTAGTACTACTACTGTTACTGATCTTTGATTTTTGTTTGTATTTTTTTGTTACTGAGGTGAGTTTGAACGTTAGTTCTCATCTGTTTCTGCTGGCTCCTTGATTTTTTTTTTTTATTTTACTTTTTCCTACTCCGCATTCTGGTAGAGAAATGCAGATTGGCTTTGGAGAGGCAGACAGTACATGAAACTGATTTCCTTTACTATTTTCTTGTTCTGATATCTGTTGCGTGACTGATGGCGTCCATGATTTGTTAGAAACTTATTTCTATATAATCCAATCTGTGTTGTGTTTGTTCATTGTATTCCAATTCATTTCATCTTGTGTTAATTCGACATTTATGGAATCCAGACATAAAGCTTTTTGTAGGACCAGAAAAATAACGAGTAAATATTGACTAAAATTTGTGCTATTTAACTTCTTTAGTTGAATTTTCCTGTGCAACAATAGCCAAGGAATTTGCTGCACATATACGACAACAGACAACACAACAAAATGAGCTTTATTTCCCATAAGCATGATCATATAGATTTTGTACTACATTTACTCTATGCAATAATTAACATTTATTACTTGGGAGTAAATGCAGTGCATATTCCAAGAAATCCAACCATCATCCCTCAAATTGCTGGACAAATATTATCATTCAACGATTTCTTTATAAATGCAAAGAGCCTGCTTAGATCTATTATTGGCAGATAAATTAAATTTATCGCCATATGAAGATTGAAAAAAAAAGGAGGAAAACTCATTTTCTTTTCCTTTTTTATTTTTGCCAAAGGATATATATATATAATCGATCTGGTAAAAATAAAACCTAACTGTATAACTTTCATGGATGGTTGCCAAACTTTGAAGCAGGATGTATGTGATCACTACGATGATTTAGAGGAACTACATGTGCTTTGTTGTGCTTTCTTGTAA